GAAACATAGTGGGCAGGGAGGGGGGGTGTAGGGACGGAGTCGGAGAGGAGGGAGTTGGAGGAGAGAAGGTTAACAACAGTCGTATTTTTCATCACCACTTCAAGACACCCTTCACCACTTTAAGACACCCTTCACCACTTCAGGACACCCTTCACCACTTCAGGATGCAGCCTGCCTAAATAGGTGGTTTTCAGGGTCTTCAGACCTTTCACCACTTCAGGACCATTCAAGATTTTCAGACTACCCAAAACTCTCACTTCACCACTTCAAGATGCAGCCTGCCTAAACAAGTGGTTTTCAGGGTCTTCGGACCTTTCACCACTTCAGGACCATTCGGGATTTTCAAATTGCCCAAAACTCTCACTTCAGAATTTTCATTCCTGAATTTTCAGCTACCCGTTAACCGCTTGTGAGTTGGAGAGAAGGGGATTGGACCACGTTGGGGATGGTGCTAGGGGATGGGGGGTGTACTAGAGGGGGAGGCACAAAATGTGGGTAAGGGGCATCCGAAAGGAAGGTGTTGGATCATGTTGGGGATGGCTCTGAGGACTGGGGGTTGTACAAGAGGGATAGACGAAATGTGGGTAGCAGGGATGATGGGTAGGAGTGCAAATGGTGGCCTAGCAGAAAGGACAGGGCAGTTCAGTCTTTAGCGAGTTGGATGAGCAGTATCAGCCAGAAGAGAGATAGAGGTTAATGAGGTTAAAAGAGGGCAGGGGGACGGAGGGGGGGGATGGAAGGGGGGGAAGAGGCGATGGGTTGTCCAAAGGTAGACGGGTGGGACCGTGTTAGTAGTACGTTGAAAAACTGGACTAGGGGCTGGAGGTGTATGAGAGGCGAGTATCTCGACTTTTTTGGGGGTAGGGGAGGAGGTTTTGTGTAGTGCGTTAGTCTCGAGTTATGGGTGGGAAGCCGTTGTTAGCTCTCACTGTAGGGGTGTTTGACTGATGCATGGCCTCGTAAGGAAAGGGCCAATAGATGGCTCATGTCAGCAGTGCTGCTCGAACTTATCATTGAAGACAAATAAAAACGGCTTTGATGGCCCTTGCAGGTCTGCTTCCCCTCGAGTATCGAAGGAGACGTCGCCGTCTGAAGTCCGCGGTAACCTTCTTTTGATCCCTGCTGTCCTCACGAAGATGGGATTCCAGCTAGACGCAACATGATCCTCTTGATTTGAAGGTTTTGACTCGAAATGCTCTGATTCCCTCTGAAGTCTGCTTACTCCAGAAAAGCCCTTGTCAGGATCGATGGCGCCCTGGGGGCGTGCGCATGTAGGGTTTTTTCATGACAGCACAAGGCTATGGCTCCCTTGGCCGGGCAGCTTCTTCGTTGCGTTCGTCCTCCTCCTTCGTCGTTTTCGAAAACAAAGTGTGGTGTGGGCACGGGTGCCAACGCGGGGGGGAAACTGCTGCAAGCGCGAGCGCGATCCTCCAGAATCCATTACCTCTTCTTCTCTTTCTTCTTCTTCTTCTTCTTCTTCTTCTGCTGCTTCTGCTTCTGCTTTTGCTTCTTCATCGTCATCGTCGTCGTCGTCGTCGTCGTCATTGTCTTCTTCTTCTTCTTCTTCTTCTTCTTCTTCTTCTTCTTCTTCTTCTTCTCTTTTTCTTCTTCCTCCTCCTCCTCTTCCCCATTTATATTTGATATTTTGTCTTTCTTGTCCTCCTCCTCCTACCTCCTCCAAGTGCTAGGTCTCCCTTACCCTCTCTCCTTCTGCTACCTACCTCCTGTTCTCCTTCTTCTCTTCCTGTTTCTCTCTCTACGCCATCCCCTTCGTTCCCCTACGCAAACTGTTTCTGTTTCTCTTATCACTTTCAAATTGATGTTGTGCTGTCATGGAGGGGGTATGAGCTACTGGTTGACAGGGAGAGCAATGTGTGCTATGAGCCACTGCATGCTTCGAATTCTTACTGGTCTGATGGGCAGGTACTTGGCCCACGGGATAGACATGGATTCAGTCGGTTGCAAATTTAGAATCCCTCTCCATTTTTTCTTCAGTATGGGGTCTGGGTCTGTGGTTTGTAAGCCTAGATCGTATCCAAACTTTACGTCGTATTCGAATATTGTTCTTGTTCTGCCAGACTTGCCCATCTTCCAGGCCCATTCCTTTGGGTCGAACTCAAGATCTGTGATGCTGAGGTCTGGTTGGAATACTCTCCACGGTTTGGATTCCGAGACCCTCACTTTTCTTAGTAGGAAAGAGTCTAGGATCTCGAACTGAGGGTCGTTGTTGAGAATTTCCATTTCCTCTAGGTTGTCCTGTAATGGGACAAGTGAAGAATTTGGATCTGTACCCATTCGTTGTTATTCGGGAGATGAAGTGGTAGGCTCTAGTGTGGGGAGGTTGGGATGTAGGAATTCCCCAGTCGCCCGGTTTCCAAGAGAAGTCTTCCTTTAGTAAGGTGGTCCATTGGGTAGGAATGCTACTTTGGATTTGTGTTAGGTTGGTGGCCAGCGAGTGGCATCCTTTTAGTCTAGTGCGATGTTCTTGTTCGGTGATCCAATTGTTCTTCTCTTGTGACCAAATGTGCTTTATTCGCCACACCCCTTTCTCCACCCAGGATAACCATCTCCGATCCTTGGCCCGTAGGGACCAGGGTAAGCCGTCTGGATCCTTGATCCAGGGGTTGCAAAAGAGAGGTTGCCTAAAGGACTCTTCTTTGTTTGCTGGTGCACCGTGTTTGCTTGGCATCATGTGCCGCCAGGCTTTTGAGTTGGGGTTCCAGTACGGGATTGGTGTGGAAGAGGCCTGAGTGTGTGGCTTGGTCCTGGCTCTTATGTGTGATCTTCCTGTATTGATCATCCATCCCTTTGCCATTATCCAGAAGAGCCCTGACATGTTGGGAGGGGTGGTTATTGGTGCTAGATTCCTTATGCTGTGCAAGGCCATCCTGGTCCATGGTAGGTGCTGTCTGGTAAGGATCTTGATGATCAATTTCATCTGTAGGGCTATAGACTCCTGTTTGGGGTCTAGTAGGCCTAAGCAGCCCTCATGTGGTTTTGAATTCCTGAAAGAAAAGAAATTGTGCGAGGAATGAGCCCTCGCAGGGCCCTTATCAGACATACAAGTGTTCTGGGCAACGGCCCCCAGCAAGCCCATGCCCGCCCTAAGTGAAGGCGGGTCTGAATACTCACGTAAGGCCTATTTTTGACGATTTTTCCATATGTGGGGGAATTCAGGCAGTTGCAGCTCGCCAGTTGGTTACAGAGCAACGTGAGCCTTCCAGGCTCTTTCAAGAAGCAAAGGGGCTGTGCTGTACAGTTGGGCCCAGGGCTCAGGCGGTTGCGCCCTGGGCAAAAGCTGTGTGAGGCCGACACATCACAGACTAGTTACGGGCCAATGAGGTAGCAGCATTGTCATCACACAGAGGACGCGGGCCAATGAGAATGCTGCAAACACTTGGAGGCTGGGAGGCTGCCTGGACGTGCCCAACCAGAAAGGGCCCAGGCCCCCAACTGTCGGACAGGGCCTGGACGCAGACACTGGGGCCCGACTGGAAGCTACTGGGAGCTTCCTCAGCCAGGCCCTCGCCACCAAACAGAGGCAGCGACTTCCATATAGGAAGGTCCCTGGCCAGAGGCTGGCATTCTGGCCTAGGCAGGCAATGCGGACACGCTGCTGCGTTGCTGCGCAAGTGTCTGCATGTGCGCTGCTGGCTGGGGCGCACGCAGGCGCTATGAGGTGAGAGGGGCGCTGCAGGGCAGCGGGCGCATGGCAGCCATAGCCGGGCTTCAGGGGTGCATGCGGGTGATGGTCGAAGGTGGTCTTCGAGTAGGAGGCGCCTGAGGTGGGGGTAAAGGTGTGATGAGGGGAGGGGAGAGAACGTATCTGGTGTATGCTGGTGGTCGGCATTGGTGTTGACGTCACGTACATTGGTCTTCGACTTCAGAATGATCCAGTTGCAAGAACGGAGATAGGTTAGATAGGCCGAGTAGGATAGGCTGGGCGCTGGGCGCCAGACTGTGATTGCGACATTGGATACAGTGTTGTTTTGACCAGAGAGTGGCAACGTTAACATTCGAGTCCATTGTATTGCTCTTATTTGTATGGTATCCTGGTGCATTGAGCTCTCTGCTTGGTTCATGACTATCTGAGCTACTTCGTGATTTTGCAACTTGGTTTTCTATCTATCGATCTCGAACATATTCCTTGCAATTGTCTCTTTTTGGTCGTATTCCTAGTTTTTCAATTTTATCAAGTTTTATGGATAACAACTGTTGGAATCTCTCTCTCTCTCTCTGTCTCTGTCTGTGTCTCTGTCTGTGTCTCTGTCTGTGTCTCTGTCTGTGTCTCTGTCCGTCTGTCTGTCTGTCTCTCTCTCTCTCTCTCTCTCTCTCTCTCTCTCTCTCTCTCT